GTATCCTATGATTAATTACATTTACATTAGGTATTAATTATGCATACTTTATTTATTTAACGTTTGCATGTTTGATTTCATTAAAAAATAACGTTTTATTAACTAGTTCTTTCTAGATATATTTGTTTGCATATAATCCTCAACATTCAATTATATCATTCATATATTCAGACGATCGATTGAATAAATCACAATCATAAAATGATTCGATTCGTTAAATTAGTCGCCTTGATTAGTTTTCCTTATTTTTAAACTTCTAAAGATTTTGGTGAATTTGTGTTTTATGAATGTATACAATCAGATCTTGTTGCTTAGACCGAACGACAAATCTACGTAAAGTACACCGAATCAATATTAAAATCTATCGATTGATAGTTTAGTGATGTCTAATTTTAATTAAGAATTTATTCCAAAACCAAAGTTCTATTTTACACTGGTGAATGTGTATAAATATATAGCCTCTGAATGTAACATTCATGGTATAACTCGATTCAAAAATGAGCCATTAAACTACGTCAACATAAATGAGGTTATTTAACTCCAAAATAAACTGGTGAGTTTGAATATTGAATAGCTTCATAGTATCATCACTAATAAACACACAAATTATGATGATATAATAAGGAGATGAAGATTATCAGAACTATGTGATATGTTAGCGCAATACATTTCAATAAACTTCAATATACGCCCTTTTACACTTTCATACAATACCACAACTATTGAATATACCACAAAAGCCGAGTTTAGATCAATCTTATGCCCTGTTTCAATTATATGTTTAGCAATAGAGGATGATGGATGTTTATCCTCTGCTCTTATTGGGTCACTTGATTGTATTTGTTTCTGCAACCATTTGGGTACATGTCCACACACACTAATGTTGTGATCACGATTGCTCCTGCCTATGTATGTGTGACCACGCACACACACACACACACATTTAAATTGGTAAACACAGTGGGATGTGACACAATCGTTTTCATGTCTTTTAGGTTTTGGATGAAGCATGCACCTTGTTATTTGTTTGATAATGAACTTTGCTGCGTAATACGTTTTTATTGATGGCTGATTTAAGTCTTTGTTTCAATAACAGGCTATTTGAATCACCTCCGAATGGTAAGGTGGTGTAGACAGGCTTTTTTCTACCGAGGCTACAGTAGGTCTCACTGTACCATGGACTTTCCATGTATTTATGGATTACAGAGAATAGCCATTTTCTATTAATATTTTATCTAGCAACTTAACATCATCATCAATGGCGTCATTTGTACAAATACGATCAAGCCTGTTGGAAAGACACCTTATCAAACCACGTTTGTATTGCACAGGGCGATAACTATAATAACTATGGTATTGACCTGTCCACGTTGGTTTTCTAAAAATGGATCGCTTGACTGAGCCATCTTTTCGTCTACTCAGAAATATACCTAGGAAAGGGAGCTGATCGTTCTTCTCCTCTACACATGAAACTGATATGGTTTTGGAGAGGGTTAAATTTATTTAATAAACAGCACATATCCTCTTTTCTTTCACAAACAACTAAGATATCGTCCACATATCTCTTATAAAGTGACATGTTTTCGATTAGGTCATCAGCCTGATTCTCAACATGTGCCATAAACACATCTGCTAATAATGGTACTAGCGGACTACCCATAGCAACCACATCAATCTGACGAAAGTGAACTGAATTTTGTCAGTACATAATAACAGTAAATCTTTAAGAATTTTTACAGGGACACGTGATTGAAGATAGTTTACAAATATGTAATCACATGATATATCCATAGTTTTTTCAAAGGTATATTTGTAAATAAGGAATTCACATCAAATGAACACATTGTCTTTTCCTTGATATTAATATCGCCTAAATGATCGACTAGTTCAAAAGAGTCCTTTAGAGAATACTTACATAGATGTCTTCGGATAGGGTACAACTATTTTGTTAGCCGTTTAGCCAGGTTATGTGTAGGTGATCTGCACATTGATGAAATTGGACGTAAAGGAATGTTTGGTTTGTGGATTTTAGGTAGTCCATATTAATGAGGGCACTCGCAACCCATAGGTTTTAGAAAATTAAATTCCTCTTTATTAATAATATTCATGTGTTGTAATTTTTCCAGGTTTGAATTTACTCTTCCCTCTAGTTTGCCAATACCTCCACATTCAACATCAGGCATAAATTTACTTTCATCACAGAGGATGGATAACATCTTACTTTTATATTCACATTTATTCATGATAACTACGCCTGATCATTTATCAGGTTTTAACAAGACAATATCAGGGTTTGTTCGTAGTTCTTTTAATGATTTAAAGTGCTGAGAAGTTAATATGCTTCTCTGCTGTTGTCCGACATTATGAAATCGGTGTGCTATATCCACCAGTTTAACTTGACACCAGCTTTGATTATTTAAATACGTAGGGGTTAGAGTACTCAATTGATCGTATAGATTTTCAAATTGGGCATTTATTTCCAATTCAGACATTTGCGCTATAGGGACCGAGAAATTAAAACCAAGAGAAAGCGTTTCCTTTTCATTAGCAGATAATACAATGGAAGATAAATTAGTGACATACTTATCAGGATTGACTGGGAACAAATTAACATTAGTAATAATACAGGATTTTTTTTACCAATTCAAATGTGTGTGTGTGTGTGCGTGGTCACACATACATAGGCAGGAGCAATCGTGATCACAACATTAGGGTGTGTGGACATGTACCCAAATGGCTGCAGAAACAAATACAATCAAGTGATTTCATTGATTAAGATCATGAGTCAGTTGAAGCTAGACCACCATGGAAAACCTGGAAGCACTGGACGGCCGTTTCGTCCTATTATGGGACTCCTCAGCAGTGCGCATCCACGACCTCGCCCCCTGTGAGATTCGAACCCAGGACCTACTGGTTTCGCGCGCGAGCACTCAAACACTAGACCACTGAGCCGGCATCCAATGAAATTACTACAATCTCCACACAACCCCTTCTGATAACAATCAAGTGACCCAATAAGAGCAGAGGATAAACATCCATCATCCTCTATTGCTAAACATATAATTGAAACAGGGCATAAGATTGATCTAAACTCGGCTTTTGTGGTATATTCAATAGTTGTGGTATTGTATGAAAGTGTAAAAGGGCGTATACTAAGGTTTATTGAAGCCTTAACCATACGAAAATTCAAACCCCCTTTGTGTATTCAAAAACAGTTTGTTCTTACCTTAAACCTACCCTGGTAATATTGACTTATTATCCAGAGTGATTAGGTTTTGAATTGTGTTCACATTATTATTATTACTCTTATTATTATCCTTATCTCCTCTTACCCCATTTCCAGTCTAGTTGACCTTTTATTTTTATATATAAATGTTCTTAACAAGTATATGTGTGATCAAATTGTTCGAAATGTATTGCGCTAACATATCACATAGTTCTGATTATCTTCATCTTATTACATTTTGGAAGTATATATCAAAGGAACTAATTACATAAATCATGGCAATGAGTTACAGTGCAAATTATTTATAAACATGAAATGGCTATCGACTGTTAAGTTTTGTACTTCTTATTTTCTGATATTTAGGACAGAAATGATAAGTCACTTTGGTTTATAGATGTTGGAATTCTGCATAAAAATACAAGTTAATAATAAGACAAATCGAACATTTCTAATAATGATCATTAATAGTATCCAGGACTCACATTTCAACCTATGAGATTTTTCAGCTGAATTTCAGTGCAAATATTTCACTGTTGATGTTCTCGTTGAGATTCTTATATTTGTTAAATGAATTAGTGACTCGTTACTAAACAACCAAGTAAATGACGTCCAGGCAATGGGTTGGTATCGCAGTCAGAATATCAACACCGAGATACAAATAATAGCAGTAAGGCGAGACACAGATAAAGTGAAATCTGTATTATTAGACGCTCTTCCTAGACAGTACAGAATATATTACTGGAATTAATAGTTTGTAAATCGCCAACGTAGATGATCTATGTCGAATGATCGGAAGCCTACTCGAGTTAGACGGGAATGGCGTGACGAACCAGCAAGCGTCGAAGTCACACCTCGTGGTCAGCACCATACGTGGACTACCCCATTGACGTATCAAGGTACTATAGATGCTTTCAAGACTGCACAACACCGAGGACGTTATTACAGAAATATGTTAGTTAAAGTAGACACAAGCGAAAGTAAGACCACTGCCGCATGGGTCAGTCCATGGCGTACGACTAACTGATGCGCGTTGGTTGTCCTCGACCTCGACGAGGATTGGTGCTTTGTTCGATGTTCAATGACTCAACTACCGGATGATTTGGCTAGGGCTCAGTGGAATTTCACTGGCCCTACAAGATTTTCAAGTTTTCCTACTTCAAATTTCATATGTAAATCTTCGTAAAACCTAACTTATCAAATTATAGTTAAAAACTAGACTACACGAATGTATTATTCAAACTTACTACACTGTGTTTATAGCACGAGGGTTTCTTCAGAGACAGAGATGATCAGTAGTCGAGACTGGACAGTTGAGATTTCTTCCAATTCCCAAAATTTACTTAGTATATCAGCTAGTTCTGATGATAATGTCGATCCCCTGAAATGCGTCAAAGTTCCGCTCCACACCCAGTCAAACTAGCAGCTTACTTTGAATAACTGTATCTTTGATGAGTCTGAATAACTACCTAGAGTTGCCTACCGCCATGTTGTGTGCCACCTTTCTTACTTTCATTGTTTATCAATCCTCAAGATTTTGCGTACGCCCTCATCAGTGTATATATCATTTGATCGAGATCAGCAGTGCGCATCCATGTAATTTGCCTCATCGTGTCTCGAATCTATCAGAATGATTTTCTGATCATTTTTCACTAAGTGATAAGTAATTACGATTCACTACGAAGTACATTTGAATTGAAACAACTAATTACTGATTTGCTAGTCCTAAATAAATTGCTAATAAGTTAACTATTAACATAAAATAAATACTAGCGCTGGTGTGTCAGTAGACTAACGTAGATACTGACTTACGCTCTAAAACCTTGAAACTTTAAAATAGGTTTGTTTAGAAGCACAATGTTGTTATGGAAATATGAGTTATGCTATTAAAAATATAATTAAACAAAAGAATACTTTCTCTAAGTAGTTTTGCTGGATAACGGTGGCCTGCATAAATATCTGGGCTACCTGCTCCTTCCACCTAGATATTTCAACAAGTTATCTGTCTTTTGTTTGTTTAAATAGGTTTTGATGTCAATTAATTGTACAACCTATTCAGGTGCGTTTGTGAAAATTTCACGACCTTTCGTTGTACAAGTTATGGAAGAGCACAGTCAGAGACATTCAGGTTGTTGGAAATATACATAAAAACGAAAGAAAAGGAAACTTTTTGAAATAATTTGCGCTGAGAATTTATATATTGAAATTAAAATTCTATATTGTACCAAAAATACATTAATGAATATATATATATATATATATATATATATATATATATATATATATATACAACCTGCTCTAGTGTATTATCTCGAGACCAGACGTATCAGTCAAAGAATATAAATATTTAATCAGGATCGTGAACAAACAAAGAGTTGCATATAAACAGCCAATAAATTTTGAACCAGTTCAATAAAACAGATATCAGAGTGGCGACATTATTTCGCTGGCAATTATTCATACTACTTAATAATAGTTAGTAGCACAATGAACAAAAGAAAAAACAATGGTTCGAATGAGATTTAAATAAGAAACCATTTTGATGAATCTGATTGGGATTCATTTACATAATAATAGACTGTAGGGTGATTTGCGTATCAGCTAGTTTCAAGATGTTTAGTACTCAGAAACGTGTTTATTTCCTAGTTTTTTAATTTGAAATCTGACATTTAGTTTCTTCATGCCATAGGAGATATCGTCTGTTTTTTACACAGTTAAAACTTTTCCTAATGGTCGATGAATGTTTCAGTGTGCTGAATGTTCACCCTATTTCCAAATACTCTGCATACGTATTCTTGTGTGCTATTTGTTCGAATCAATCCTCTCTAGACTTTATCAATGAATGTTCCTTTTATGGTTGTTTTTAGGAGTAGCCGAAGCTAAGAGATAAAGCGATATTAATGATATCAGGGTATACGAGTCGAAAAAAAGTAGTTATTGCACTTTCGTTCAAATCAAACCTTTGAATATAAATGATATTAATGTACAAAGACATTAGTACATAAAACCATGTATAGGATAATAATTAAATGAATCATAATAAGGTAGTGTAAACTTAAATTAAGTAAGATTTCGTGAGGAATTCAAGACTGCATTTTGGCGCTAAAATGTTCAGGAGATCCTTGGATATTAGATCTGTTGTGGGACAATCGGCGTGAGTGAAGGAAGTTTCACGTGTCTGATTGTTACATTTCATTAGTTGTATATTGTACAATCAGCCACAGAACTTATTCACTATTCTACAAAATAAGCCTATATGAACATTTTTTTAGTCAAATTTAATATATGTAGTACATGGTTTTGCTAGCTTTATATTACACTAGTTATCTGGTCAGTACTCCACAAGCTTTTTAGGTACAATTTACTTCATAATAGGGGAATATGACGACTAATTTTAGTAATAATGAAGAATATATACTTTAAGCGAATAGGACATATTATTCCTCGGTCCCACTCGTCTCTTAATATTTTCATTTCTATTAGCTTCACATAACTTTGAATGCCATTATTTTATTTTAATCTTTTTTCTCTATGCTGTCCATTTACTAAGCTGATATAATAAAATGAACTTATCCAAACTTATGATAAGTTCTATGTTATTTATACCTATCAATAATAAAATGTGTATTACTGATATGATGGGAAGTAAGGTCAATTTTCGATTGATTTACTCAATATGAGATTTATTCATCATTACATCCGTTTTGATTCAATGTAATGGTTACGCAATGTAGTATTTGTTTTCTTTTCTCGTACGATATTTTATTTTGTATAATATACGATATTCTTGTATTCCATTGATCTGAACTATGCTCAGTATGTGATTTGTTATAACTCTGAGTATTTTTCATATATGCGATTTTATCTTAATTATTAATCAAAATGGGTGCTCAATCAATATATAATGGGTGTATTTTCTACTAGAATGATCATCATCATTGTAGTCGTCGCCATCATACTGTTTTGGGGCTAATAAATCTTCACTTATACCAGACTTTGTGTTCTTACTTTTGCGTCGTGGGAACTGAAGAGGTCCCTCGTTCCAAGTATGAGTGATCAGCGTTTTTCCGGCACAGCAATTAGCGACTAGACATAACAATTACTTACAATGAAATTTCATACTTAAGTAGATAAAAGCGTGAAACGTATTTTATCTACTGAGGTTTGATCGATTCGTTAGAAGTAGCACATATTAGGTATCGTTGTTTTATTCTCATTGAATGTTATTCCATTTTTAATGAAACCATAGCTATTAGAGTTAATTGGTAGGGGTATTATTAGCGAACCTGAACAGACTAAGTATAAATACAAAAACCGTAGAGTCAGTTAAATAATTATTTAGTACCTAATAGCAATCGAATGTAGTAAAATTCTGCTACGAATAAAAAAATTACTTACTTACGCCTGTTACTCCTAATGGAGCATAGACCGCCGACAAGCATTCTCCAACACACTCTGTCCTGGGCCTTCCTTTCTAGTTCCATCCAATTCTTCTTCATTTTTCTCATGTTTATCTCCATTTCTTGGCGTAATCTGCTCTTTGGTCTTCCTCTCCTCCTTCGGCCTTCAGGATTCCATGTGAGGCCTTGTCTTGTGACGCAGTTCGGTGCCTTCCTCAATGTGTGTCCTATCCACTTCCAGCGATTCTTTCTGATTTCTTTCTCCTCTGGGATCTGGTTTGTTCTATCCCACAGTAGGTTGTTGCTAATAGTGTCCGGCCAACGAATCCGAAGTATTTTGAGTAGACAACTGTTAATAAACACGTGTATCTTCTGGACGATGGCTTTCGTAGTTCCCCAAGTTTCCGCTCCATACAGCAGAACTGTCTTGACATTTGCATTGAAAATTCTGACTTTGGTGTTGGTTGCTAATTGTTTTGAGTTCCAGATATTCTTCAGTTGTAAATATGCTGCCGCCTATGACCATTTTATTGAAGGCACATAGGTTTGCAAATCTCTCACCATTTTCGTTCCTTTCTACCAGTCCGTGTCGTCCCATGATCTCTTCATATCCGGTGTTGTCAATTCCAACCTTCGCATTTAAATCTCCCATCAGAATGGTCAGGTCCCTTGTTGGGCACTTCTCAACGATTGATTGCAGTCTATCGTAGAATTGATCTTTAGCGTCTTCAATGTAGTCATTGGTAGGCGCGTAGCATTGGATGACGCTCATTATAATGCCCTCTTTCTTCGATTTGAAGCAGTCTTTGATGATCCTTGGCCCATGAGATTCCCATCCTATAAGTGCATTTTGTGCTTGTTTGGACAGCATCGATGCAACTCCTTATGTGTGTGTGGCATTTTCTTTTTTATGTCCGGAATATAACAACAGCTCCCCTGGAGCTAGTCGTTGTTGTCCAACTTGCGTCCAATGTGTTTCACTGATCCCAAGCACCTCTAGGTTGTATCTCCTCATTTCTGCAGCAATTTGGAAAACTCTCCCAGACTCCCATATTGAACGCGCATTCCATGTACCTAAATAAATGGTTGCTCCGGTTATCAGAAGGGGCATCGGCCTCGTGACTTCCGAAGGAACTCGGCTTTCATCATGAGGCGTCATAACTCTTCTAAATGAAGACCTTCTGAGTCCCAGGGCAGAGTTTAAATGGTTTGAATAATTTTTTCTGGTTAGCGTTTTTTAGCGAGTTAGTTTTCTACGGGATAGGGTCGCTAACCCCAGGCCCAACCCTCCTCCATTATCCGGGCTTGGGACCGGCAGTAGCCCCCGGAGAGACTCCAGGCGGATAAAAACCTACCTTTGTCAAATCACTTACAATATCAATCGATTGTGTGTGCTATGTTTGACGAGATTACGAGGTCACCTAATCTGAGAACGGAACGAAAACTCAATGACAATGACTGATAAGCTAGCTATTCCCACGCGTCCCAGCCCGGCTAACTAGAGAGAGAAGTCCAAATTGGCAAGACGGCAATATATTCCACAAGCAACCACGACAGCGTGCCTTGTCATCAACACAAATTATTAGTATTTTATATGATGAAATCACTTCATGTTTCAGTAACAAGTTATTTTCAAAAGCACTCGACTATTATCTCGTTTCTTATTGAGCAGCAGAATATGAGATAACAAAGATATAACTGCTTATAAAGATTTTTAAGCAACCTAAAATTATAATAGTTAAAACGGACAAGTAGCTGATGTTTATTGATCTAATAAACTAATAAGTAGTATTATTCAAATGAAGTCGTAACACGAATCATAAATCAGAGATTGACAATATCCTACCCCAACAGCTTCAATATAACCTAAAATAGTAACTTTAAGTAAACCTATCACTATCGTGTAAACGTTTAAAAACCAACCATTTCATCAATTATATGGTTAAAAATTAACTCTTGGTAGTATAAATAGTATATAAATTTATTGTACTTTATAATTATTCAAACACATAAAAATTGGTACAACGAGGCACCAAATATATGTGCGTCACACAAGTCTCATTTGATATGTGTGAGGGCTGTGATACTGCCCAGGTGCCCAAACCGAAGCAGGTGGTTTTCTTAGGGGGCCACATCCCGAGCCTTTGACCTGAAGATCTGATCCACAAGGCAGTGGAGCAACATCATAAGATGCAGTCTCACAGTAACCTGTGACGATCAATAGGTTCATACGCCATTTGTTCCTTCAGAATACTGGAGCACATATACACCATTGGTTTGAAATCAGGGTTTTCCAACATCCTCTAAATGGATCCTCTGTATCCACCAACCCGGTTAAAGTGGCGGACATTCGGTTTTCATCCTCTCAATTTCGTGAACAACACCCTTGTCGCTCGAATGAAGTGAGTAAAGCTTCCCTGACAGTGTTTGTACACGTGTGGTCATGTGAGAGCCTTTCGAGAGAAAAAGTTGCCTCCCCCCATTCTCGGCCGTACCAGAGCATTTAGGGGCTACTTCATAATTCATGTAATGAGATTATACAACAATAATAATAATTAGTAACAGTCAGTGAGTCAGCTATAACGTAGGACCAGGCACATATATACATCGATCCAAGTTGCCACACTTCATTAGCACAGCAAGATGAACAACGGAATCATAGAAGTAGTGAATTCAATGGGGG